AAAAAAAAAAAAAAAAAGACAAATAGGAGAAATAGACAAATTCACATTATAGTGTAATTCAATACCCCTCTCTGAATAATTGATTAGAATAAATATGTAGAAGATCAGCAAGGACATCGCAGACTTGAACAATACCAGCAGCCAACCTAAGTTGAGTGACATTTATGGTACTCCACTCAGAACAATGAAATACACATTCTTTTTTTTTTTTTTTAAAGTTTATACATTTTTGAGAGAGACAGAGCACAGGTGGGGAAGGGGCACAGAGAGAGGGAGACACAGGATCCGAAGCAGCCTCCAGGCTCTGAGCTGTCAGCATAGAGCCTGACGCGGGGTTCGAACTCCCTAGCAGTGAGATCATGACCTGAGCCGAAGTCAGACGCTCAACTGATTGAGCCACCCAGGCGCCCCAAAATGTATATTCTTTTAAGTGCAGCTGGAACATTTACCAAGATAAACCATATTCTGGTCCATAAAATAAGGGTCAAATTTAAAAGGATTCACGTCATACTTAGTGTGTTCTTTGACTGTAGTGGAAATAACGAGAAGTTAAAAACAAAACGAACCTTGGAAAGTCCCTAAATATTTGGAAGCTAAATAATACTTCAGAATAACTCATGGATCAAAGAAGAAATTAGGAGGGAAATTAGAAAGTATTTTGAACTGAATAAAAATGAACACAACATGTCACAGTATTGGGGCTGACAGTAACATTACTCAGAAGAATTTATAGCCCTAAGTAAGAAGAAAGGCCAATTCAGTGACTTCACCTTCCATCTTAAGAAACTAGAGAAAGAAGAATACACTAAGCCCAAGTAAGTAGAAGAAAGAGAATAGTAAAGAACAAAGCAGAAATCCGCCAGAAAACAAAAGCAATAGAGAAAAATGGAGGAAACCAAATACTCAATTAAATTGATAAACCTTTAGCAAGGCTGATTAGGGAAAAAAAGAGAAGAGAAAAGTGCAAATTGCCAGCAACAGGAATAAGATAAGATGTCACTTCAGATTCTACAGGTGTTAAATGGATAATAGAATATTATGATCAGCTGTATGTGAATAAACTTGACAATGTACAAATTTCTTGGCAGGTATAAATCATCATTGTTCATTCTGAATGGTACATTACCTTAATGGTACTATATCTATTAAATAGAAATTGTAGATAAACACCTGCCCACAAAAAAAAACTCCAGGCCTAAATGGCATCAAAATAATATCCCAAATCAGTTAAGTGGAGAAATGGTAGGCTTTTCAACAAATGGTGCTGTAACCATTGGATTTTCATATGAAAAAAACCCTTTTATACTTACATTGTACCATATTATAAAATTATAAAAATTAACTCAAAATGGATCCTAGGTCTAAATGTATACTCTAAAGCAATGACATTCCTAGAAAAAAACAAAACATAGTAGAAGAAAAATTTTTGTGACCTTGAATTAGGCAAAATTTTGTACATGTGACACCAAAAACAGTAAAAGAGTAAGTTGGTAAATTGGATTCATCAAAATTTAAAACTAGCAGAGACTGAAGGGGAGCACACGTTGAGTGACGAGAACTATAAACAGTATGTAATGTAGTGGAAGGGCCAAGGATCATTGGATTTGACAAATCTAGAATTCCACAACTGCCATATAAGAACAAATGAAAATACTAGTGTTTATTGATTTGAAAATACTATTGAACTTGTTTTAATCTGAGAGAACTATGAAACAAACCTAGTACAGAGATACTTGTTAATTTTTTTAGGTCAGTTGATTATAAATATGGCATTGACTTAATAAAAACAATAAAATTTTTTTTTGATTATAAAGAGATTTCTTTACCCATTCTAGAAAATGAAATATGCAGGAAGATTTTAAGACAACAAGGGCAAACCTAATCCTTCCACCCAGAGAAGACCATTGTTAGTAGTGTCATTTTGATATATCGTCTTTTTTAACCCATATGTGTATTCTTTTAAATAACAGTGTACATCTTCCTATACATACAGTTTTGTGTCCTGCTTTCTTTGCATAGTGAATGTACTGAGCGTGTTCCCATGTCAGTAAATGATTCTTAAAAATAAGACTTTTAGTAAATATTTAACATTTTGTGAATATAATTTCCCCAAGAAGTAATTGAGATAGATTCTTCTTTTTTGCTGTGACATATAAAAATCCTCTCCATTGCTATATATAGTATCTGGGTCATCATACTGTTTCTTTGCAGCATCAGTTTAATAGAGGTTTGATAGAGGCAGCATTGGTGGTTTTTATTACTGTCTTCATTCTCAATATATGTAATAGCTTGTATAGAAGTAATTCTAGTAAATTAGTTTTGAGATTATTTCAGATGATTTCGAGATGTGGAAAATGAAATCAATTGGTGTCAAAATGTGGTTATAAACTTTGTCCTATAAAACGACTTTTCAATTTAACTTTCTAGAGACTGTTTTGAGATTTTGTTTTTCAAACTTGTTTGTGTGTCTCCTTTTATTTGCTATTCAGGTTGGTTAGTTATTTGGCAACAAATGTAGCAGAAAATGTGACAGATGTTACGAGTAAACTTTTAAAATAGAAATTAAAATTATGCATTATGATTAGAACTTCACAATTTACTGTAGCATGCTTTATTTGCACATAAGATTTTGTGTTAATTTTCCACACAAACTGGTTTCTTTTTCAGTATGATCCAAAACTTTATTCAAAATCAGCACCAAAAAAACATGTTCGCAAGGACAGTATCAACTCGTTATTGAGGTCTTCCCTTTTTTCGCTCTAGTTACTTTCTTACATTGATGATGTACTTACTTGTATATTTTTCTGTCCACAGAAATCGTGAGATTCTGGAAAATGTGTTAGCTGTCATCCTGGCTATTCTTGTGGCTTTTTTGGGATCTGTTCTTCTCATACAAGGCTTCTTCAGAGATATCTGGGTCTTCCAGTTCTGCCTAGTGATAGCCAGCTGTCAATACTCGCTACTTAAGGTACCAGCATCTCTCTCGTTTTCCGACTAGGGAGTGATATTTGTGATAAAAGGCGGAAGTTTTGTATCATTCATGCATTATAGTAAGATATTAATTTTTAAATTTATTTTCCCTAGATGTTTACATCAGATAGGGAACCAAAGGACATACGAACTTTAAAAAATAATGATATGTAAATGAAGTATCCTTGAACTATTTTTTTTGCCAAGGGTATTAAAATATTTGGGCATTTGTTAAAAATAAGAATTAGCATTCTTGAAATTCATTTTAAAAATGCCAACACCACCTCTCCCAATATTTTAAGTCTTCTGTAGGTGAAATTTATTAAAATCCATCATCGGTTAGATAGAGAAATGTCAAGACTAGTATATATATTCTTTGGGACACTGAAAGCAGAAGATTGGTATCCCTTTGCTATTTAAACAGTAGGTCTAAAGTGCCAAATGTTATTAATTTTAAGTTTTCTAAAAATGGAAGCCTCAAATACCTAATGTTTCACCTTCCATGCAAAATCAGTGTGGATTGTCAATGTGGACTGTCTGCTTTTTTTCTGAGCTAGGAAAAACCCTTGCTTGTATTGGTTATTTGCCCAATAGATGCTAACAGGCAGAACTTCTCCCCCGTCCTGAAAACTATTTGTTTAGCTCTGTCTATACCATCAGCTGTACTTTCTCTGTTTATAGACAGACCTCTAGAATAAGCTGCCTGTGTCAACTGCTCCATTTCTTCAAGACCCATCCATACTTTTTTCCTCATTGCACTACTGAAATTATTATAGTGTGTATGAGTTAATAATCTCTAATTGCCAAATTTATGTCCTTTCTCATTCTTCATTCTTTGTGAGTGCTGTATCATTTAGTACCTTGTGAATAATATCTTCCATTTTTATATTATCCTCATTGTTGATCTGTGATTTTATGCTACTCTGATGATCATCATACTTTTCAGATAACTTTACCTTTGTTGATGCTTCTTTGGTCTTTGGACTACTTCTTAGTTTATGAGAATTTTTTAGGGTTTTATTTGGCCCTCTTTTCAGCCTGCAACTCCTTGCCGGTGAAGCCACACTTTTTTATTACCTGTTACCCCTTTGAATGGATTATGTCTAGATTTATGTGTCACAGTCTTCATCCTTCTCACAAGCGTTAGTTCGGCATACTAAGAGGCATTTGGGCACATTAAGAAAAAAAATTTTTAGGGGCGCCTGGGTGGCGCAGTCGGTTAAGCGTCCGACTTCAGCCAGGTCACGATCTCGCGGTCCGTGAGTTCGAGCCCCGCGTCAGGCTCTGGGCTGATGGCTCAGAGCCTGGAGCCTGTTTCCGATTCTGTGTCTCCCTCTCTCTCTGCCCCTCCCCCGTTCATGCTCTGTCTCTCTCTGTCCCAAAAATAAATAAAAAACGTTGAAAAAAAGAAAAAAAATTTTTTTTTCAGTGTTTATTTTTTTGGGAGAGAGGGAGAGACAGACAGGGCATGAGTGGTGGAGGGGCAGAGAGAGAGGGAGACACAGAATCCAAAGCAGGCTCCAGGCTCTGAGCTGTCAGCACAGAGCCTGATGCGGGGCTCGAACTCATGGACCATAAGATCGTGACCTGAGCCGAAGTTGGCCCCTTAACTGACTGAGCCACCCAGGCACCCCAAGAGCACATTGTAAAAATAGCACATCATCATCTTCTGACAAATGTTTTTCTTTCCCAGCTCCTATGCTTTTGACAATAGTGTACTGACTCCAAATCCCAAAGCCTCTATCCCTTACTCCTCAGTCTGTAATAACAAGTAACCAAGTCCCTTTGATTAAGTTTGGTGATTCTCTGTCAAAATTTCTGGCCTTTATTCTTCTCATTTTAACCATTATAATCCATCCCTTTATTGCCTTAAACTATTTAAATTCTTGCTTCAGTGTCTCTTGTCCCACGTTAACTTTGTTCACTGTTCTCAGGTTAATCTGGTTAGATATGGAAAGGTAAAAGATGACTGAGATTTTAAAAGTGTTTTAGATTTTAAAAGTCTGTTGACTAGAAGCATAGTAATATCATAAACAGAAGGACTGGAACAGAGACTTTTAGAGGCCAGATGTTGGAATTGAAAGAGTTTAGAGCTTACCTGGTATCCTGTCCAACCAAGGGCCATGGCAAACTCAGTGAGCTTGGTCCATTGTAGAGTTGTAGGGTGGTAAGAGATCATCCTAGTGAAATTGTTTGGCATGCTATTGGAAATGAACTGGAACTTGGGAGAAAAGCCATGATTTGGGAAGTAGCTGCAAAATAGCTTTTGAACATTTTTATGGAAAGTTGATAAAATCTCTTATAGGGAGACAGCTTAACTTGATGATTTTGAAAATGAAAATGATTTTGAAAATGCAGATAATATACTTAATACAAATACTATGGAATTATTTAGTAAGCTTGGAACTTGTGGACAGAACTAGAATTCTTATAAGAATTCTTATTTCCTGAATGGAGTGGTGTCATATAAGAAAGCATTGTACCTTAACTATACTTAAGTGTGGTAATGAGCCAAGGAGTAAGATGGACCTATCTACCATATGCCATCTCAGTAATGTTAAGCTCGATGCAAATTATTAATGAACCACAATAAGCTTAAGAGTCTGGAAAGATTTGAGATCTCTTCTGACACCACAGTGACACCAGTATCTGGAGCTGATATTTCATCTGCTGTTGATATTTCAACAGAATTAATATAGGTCATTTCTTACCTGTGGAATATTTTACTTGAAATTATTTCAGGCATTTTGAAAGTTGCTTATAAAGTTATCAGGACCTCAGTACTCTAATCTGTCTTTTGTTTCATTTTTAGAGTGTTCAACCAGATTCGTCTTCTCCCAGACATGTAAGTCATTCTAATATGCCTGTCATTTGTAATTTCCTAACATTTATCAAAGCCCCCCCTTTTTTGGTTATATGTCAGGTTGAATTAAGATTTATGTTATTATTTTCTCATCTAAGTTTTGACATTCTACTAGAAATACAGGTGATGTATTAGCATGAAGTAAAATGGCATTGTAATTGTGGACTCTGAATCTAGTTTGAAAATGAGCATAATAATTCATTTTCTGACAGCCTGTTTCAGGAGGAGATAATCAGGTAGACATGGTTCATAAAACTCTTAGTTATTTCATAACTTGCATTTAGTAAATTGTGAAGAATAAATCATGAGTAAGTATTAAAAAATAGAATTTTGAAGAAGGGGGAGCTGTACATTATTTTGCTTAGGTAGCCATTAGGAGGAAGAAGAAAGAAGTAATACGTTGATCTGGTGTTTAGACCTGTGGACTCTGAGGAGATTAAAAACCTTATTATTCACTTTGTGACTTTAGAAAAATAGTATTAGCTGATACAGTATTTTTTGTGAAGTATGATCCAATTTTAGAACTCACCATAGAGTATTTATTTAATACTTAGAAAGTCCAAAGGGCATTCTCTTTAAAGTAGTTCAAAAACAGACTCCAAGAACGGTTTATGATGATACTTCTTTCTTGAATATTATTTCTACCCATACACTGGAATACTTAATAGAGTGTAGGTGAACAAAACAAGGAGGCAAATGATTTTCTTTCAACTGATTGTTTAATATTTTGTAAGAAGGCTTTTGAAGTGTATTGATATATGGCAGCATTGTTTTTAATTTCAAATTTTGACGTAATTTGAAATTTAGGGAAAAGTTGTAAGGATTATGCAAAGAATTCCTGATGCCATTTATCCAGATCCCTGTGTGAACATTTTCCCATATTTACTTACTCTCTTTCTAGTTCTTCTCCATCCCTTCCCCACCCCCCTGGCTCCACACACACTTCTGAGAGTGAATTGTAGACACACGTCCCTTTACCTCTAAATACTGCCATGTATGTTTCCTAGAAACAAAGGCATTCCTTTGTATTATTAATTCAATATAATTATTAAAATCAGGACATTAAACATTGATAGAATACTATGTACGAATCTACAGATGTTACTCCGGTGTTTCCTGTTGACTCGGTTGGCAATAGAAAATGCCTGATTTTGCATTTGTTCTTTTTAGCCTCTTTTAATCTGGAGCAGTTCTTTAGTATGTGTTTGTCTTTCACGATATTGACACTTTTGATGAGTACATGCCAGCTATTTTGTAGACCATCCCTTAATTTGAGTCCATCCGATGTTTCTTCTTGATTAGATATAGGACTTGCTTTTTTTGAAAGGAAAATTATGAAAATGATACGTTCTTCTCAGTGCCTCGTATCAGGAAGCACATGATGTTCATTTATCCTTTTACTAGTGATGTTAGCACTAGTGTGCTTTCATATTTTGGCTAAGGGTAGTATCTGCAGGGTTTTTCAAACTCTGCAGTATTAACATTTGGGGCTGGATAATTCTTTGTTGAGAATTGGTGGGAGGGAGGGGTGTTGTCTTGTGCATTATCAGATGTGTAGCATTATCTCTGACCTCTACCCATTAGATCCCAGTAGCACACTCCGCACCTGTGACAACCAGAATGACATTGGTCATTGGACATTGCCAAATGTCCTCTAGGGACAAATTTTGCCTCTGAAGGACAAAATTTCCTCCCACTCCCTTGAGAACGGCTTCTTATAATGTTACTGTTTTTCTTCTAGAGTTAATATGTGTCTCATAGACTTTATATATGTCTCCTTGCCCTGGAAAACTTCCACCTACTTGTTTTCAGTAAAAATCTTACTGATATTTCTTGTCTGAATCAATTGTCATTTGATGGTTGCCAAGTAGTAGTTTTCTAATTCCATCATTCCTTCCACATTAGTGGACTTCTTACTGTAAGAACTTTCCCTTCTGTCTTTACTTACTTGTATTGGTATGGAATCATGGATTCATATTTTATTCAGTGGACAATAATGTTAGTAACATTATTTATTTTGATGCACAAATTGTTCCTTATTTGGCCATTGGGAGCTCACCAACCTGCCCTTTCTGTCCCTTTGACATATCTTTATCACTCTTTAAGTACTTCCTTCCTTTTCACAATAATATGTTCCAGGCTTATCTTATAATTTCCCTAACCCTAGCCCAAAATCAGCCTTTTCTCTGTGAAGGCCTGGTTTTTTGTTTTGTTTTGTTTTGTTTTAACAAATAATGTTATCTCTGAACTAAGATTTTGGGTGCCTGGGTGGCTCAGTTGATTAAGCATCCAACTTCAGCTCAGGTCATGATCTCACAGTTTGTGAGTTCAGGCCCCACATTGGGCTCTGTGCTGACAGCTCAGAACTTGGAGCCTGCTTCAGATTCTGTGACTCCCTCTCTCTCTCTGCCCCTCCCCTGCTCACGCTCTGTCTCTGTCTCTCTCTCAAAAATAAAAATAAGCATTAATTTTTTTTTTTTTTAACTAAGATCTTGATGCCAGTAATTTTTATTACTTGAATGCCATTGCTTTTAGGTCGTCTCTGGATAAAGCTAGGAAATATATTTATGTATATACATATGTGCATGCATAGATGTATACACACATCTTATATCTTAGTTATGTGTGTATTAAAAATAATAACTTCAGGGACATCTGGTTGGCTCATTGGTTAAGTGTCCGACTTCAGCTCTGGTCATGATCTCACGGTTTGGGAGTTTGAGCCCCGCATCGGGCTCTGTGCTGACAGCTCGGAGCCTGGAGCCTGCTTTGGATTCTGTGTCTCCCTCTCTCTCTGCCCCTCTCCTGCTCGCACTCTGTCTCTCTGTCTCTCAAAATACATAAACATTAAAAAAATAAATAAATACTATTGAATTAAAAAATAATAATAAGTTCGTACTGATACCTCGAATTTCAGCCCAGTATCACAGGGTTCATTTGATTCTTCTTCCTTCCCATGTTTGTAATTCCCTTCTGCCACAGTCAGAAACTTGGCTTCCATATGGATGCATTTTGAATCCTTAGAATATAAGCCATCACAGGTCTCACTAGCTGGTTGTGATTCTTAAAATCAATTAACTTGACTTTGTTTTTGTATCATTTTCAGGGCCATAATCGAATCATTGCCTACAGTAGACCAGTTTATTTCTGTTTGTGTTGTGGTCTTATTTGGCTCTTGGATTATGGTAGCAGAAACCTTACTACAACCAAGTTCAAATTATATGGAATAACTTTCACTAATCCACTGGTGCTGATATCAGCCAGGGATTTAGTTATAGGTGAGTCATCTTAATTTCAGATCTTAACACTAATTTATTTGTATACAAACAGTTCCCTGATAAATAGGTAAAATGGTTTTAAGAAGCTTACTTTGCTGTTTATTATAATTTTCTCAGTGAGGAACAAAACTGTAGGGCTATTATGAATGAAAAAAATTAATGATGAACACATTATACTAATTCTTTTGTTCTTGGAAACAGATGCAGTGGAAGGTTTCCTTTGGATTCTGTATTGCAGGTTACTATTATATGAAAATGGTTGAAATAACTTTAAAAGCTGTTCTTTGCCATTGAAAAATTAGGGGTGCCTCAGTGGCTCACTTGGTTAAGGGTCTGACTCTTGATTTCAGCTCAAGTCATGACCTCCTGGTTCATGGGTTCGAGCCCTGTGTTAGCTTCTGCACTGACAGTGTACAATGCAGAGCCTGCTCGGGGGTTTTCTCTCTCTCTCTCTCTTTCTCTCTCTCTCTCTTTCTCTCTCTCTCTCTCTCTCTCTCTCTCTCTCTCTCTCTCAAACAAACATTTAAATAAAAAAAAGAAAAAAATTATTTAAAATCCAAGAAGTTATGCAGAGAGAAATAACTTAAAATGGTATCTTTTTAAAAATTGCTTAGTAGTTTATATTCATTTTGGATTTTTTAAATCATTTTATGATTTTAAAATGAACAGAAGGATGGATGTGTATACTGTTTTTAATATGCTTTTCTTTTCTTCTGTAGTGTTTACACTCTGTTTCCCAATAGTGTTTTTCATTGGTCTCCTGCCTCAGGTGAATACGTTTGTTATGTACCTTTGTGAACAATTGGATATTCATATCTTTGGTGGTAATGGTGAGTACTTCCTTTTAAACACAACAGGTTACAGTATTACTTTTACAGGTCATTAAGTAATAAACTGAACATTAAAATACTTTTCCAGTTTTCATTTTAGAATTTCAATTAGAAAAAAGGCATTTATTTGATAAAGACTGAGCAGGAATTAATTTGTAGATAGAAAAAAGTAAAGTCTGCCACTTTATTGAAAGATCCAGGAATAGCGGAGTTACTTTGTAAGAAGTGATGGCGTTCTATTGTCAAAAACTAGAAGCTGTAGTGACTTTAGGTAGAATCTGTATAGATGTATGAAATATTTAAGAGTTATCTATCCCAAATGGATTGACCCTGACACATGCCAATGTATTTTGAACTAGTGTATATATTTGGTATGTCTCTGAATATGGTTTCAGAGCTTTATTATTTCTTTAGAATGGGAACATCAAAACCAGCTGCTTTTAGTAAAAGTATTTAACTAGATAAGAAATTTTAGAAGTATCTGTTTTTAGAGTAGAATATGTGGCTGTGAACTGATATACTTAGAAATTTATTCCCCTCTTACATTTATACTTTATTTTGAAAAAGAGAAAGACCATGCCAGTATTACCCTGAAATAGGTAATGATTTGCAGAAGTTGAAAATAATTTTATTGGCACACACTGTGGTTAAACTACATTGTTATTTATTTTAACCATTTAAAATTTTACTTGAAAGATGAGTGGACAACTAGGGAAAACATATTGAAAGGGTAAGAAATTACTGTAACTTTTATGGTCCATTTCTCTTCAGACTTCTTTATGTTGATAAAATGTTGTTGTGGCTTAAATTTTAAATAGAAACTAAGCATTTCCTATGTTGATATGTACCTAGGGCATTTTTTAAGTTTTCGAAAAATTTTTGAAGGAGTGTGAATTTCAGCAGAACTTAATGGGTGGAAGACAGTTTCACTATTTAGGGTATGGAGAGGGCTTCGAGTAGGTAATTTATAGTAGTCATTATATGGTCGGTTACAAAGTTGTGCAAGGTGTTAGTTTTTTAAATATCTCCTAAAGAAAAGTTTTTCCTGTAGGTGTTTTAAAAATGTTTACTATGTAAAATCACTATTAACAAAAATCTATATTTTATCTATATTTTAAAAATAAAAGATAGCTATCTTAGCCATTCCCTAGTCCTTATTATTAGTAATTCCATTGGACCTATTTTTTCCACTTGTAAGAACAGAATTTAAAAAAAAATTTTCAATCTTTTATTGAAGCATAGTTGTATGTTGACATAGAATATTATTATTACTTTCAGGTGCACCACACAGTGATTTAACAATTATGTACGTTGAGAAATGCTCACCACCATAAATGCAGTTGCCATCTGTCACTCTACAAAGTTATTACAATATTATTGACTATATTCCCTATGTTGTACTTTTCATCCCTGTGATTTATTTATTTTCTAGCTGGAAGTTTGTCTCTTTATCCCTTTTACCTATTTTGCACATTCCCCCAGTTTGGCAACCACCAGTTTGTTATGTGTTTGCGAGTCTGTTTCTGTGTTTTGTTTGTTTTGTTTTTTAGGTTCTACATGCGAGTGAAATCCTATGGTATTTGTTTTTTTTCTGTCTGACTTACTTCACTTAGGATAATATCTTGTAGATCCATCCAAGTTGTTGCAAACAGCAGTATTTCATTCTTCTTTGTGGCTGAATAATACTCCATAGTATACATACACACATCTTCTTTATCCATTCATCTGTCAATGCACATTTAGATAGCTTCCATATCTTGACTATTGTAAAGAATGCTGCAGTAAACATAAGGGTGAATATATCTTTTTGAATTAGTGTTTTCATTTTCTTTGCGTAAATACCCAGAAGTGGAATTACTGGATCCTATGGTATTTTTCATTCCTTAAAGGACCTCCATACTGTTTTCCTTAGCGACTGCACCAATTTATAGCCCGTCAGTAGTTGCACGAGGGTTCTCTTTTCTTCACATCCTCATTGACGCTGGTTCTTTCTTTTCTTTTTGATACTAGTCACTCTGCCTGGTGTGAGGTGATACCCGATTGTGGTTTTGATTTGTATTTCCCTGATGGTTAGTGATGTTGAATGTCTTTTCATGAGTCTGTTGGCCATCTGTATATCTTCTTTGGAAAAATGTCTCTTCAGGTTCTCTGCCCACTTTTTAATTGAATTATTTTCTTTTTTTTCTCCCATTTTGTGCTCTGTTGTATAAGTTCCTCATATATTTTGGATAATGACCCTTTATCGAATATGTCCTTTGCAGATATCTTCTCCCAGTCAGTAGGTTGTCTTTTTGTTTTGTTGTTAGTTTCCTGCACTCTGCAAAAGCTTTTTTAGTTTAATGTAGTCCCAGTTGTTTATTTTTGCTTCTGTTATTTTTGTTTGAGGAGACAGAGCCAAGAAAATACTGCTAACACTGATGTCCAAGAGACTACTGTCTATGTTTTCTTTTATAGTTTTAAGGTTTTGTGTCTTAACATTTAGGTCTTTAATCCATTTTGAGCTTATTTCTGTGTATGGTGTGAGAGAGTAGTGCAGTTTCATTCTTTGCACTTAGTTCAGTTTTCCCAGCACCACTTATTGAGGAGGTGGATCTATTTGTTGTTGTTGTTGTTAGTTAGTTAGTTAGTTAGTTAGTAATTAGTCATATCTGTACTTTTTTGTGAGAATTAACACATGAGAATATAAATTGACTTCTTTGGGTAATCCACATTCTGTTTACAGAGACTAATAGTTTTAGTGAATACCTAATATATCACCAGTTCCTTTTTAGGCCTCTGCAAGCTTCATTTTCCCATACTTCTGTAAATAATAAGGTACATTCTTGAAGCATAATATAGATCCAATTTCTTCTGCCACGTGTAAATTTTCATTACTTACAAGGTGAATATATTTTGTCTTGTATCAAAAATTGTGGATAGTACATCTTTGTCGTTTCAGAATCTCTGGAAAGGATAGGATGACATAACTGAATTTTTAAAAGTGAAATGAGTAGATATTTCATTGTGGTCAACATTACACCATTTTAAATATTTTTCAGTGACCTTTTCAGATGTGTTTTCCATAAATGTTTATAAAATACTAAATCTTTTTCCCTTCCCCTCTAGCCACTACAAGCTTGCTTGCAGCCCTTTACAGTTTTATCTGTAGCATTGTGGCGGTAGCCTTACTGTATGGATTGTGTTATGGGGCTTTAAAGGTGAGTGGTACATTGTAGTATGATTTTGTCTTTAAGGCTATTTTTCTTTATGGAGATTGTTTTAAATTGACTAATAATGATTTAAGCCTCCCTCTCCCCATGCTCCCTCAGACCACTTTAGCATTAATTTCCATGATCTTCACGTGTTGAATATTATTCTCATTCTCATTTACTTTGAATTCAAAAGCAGTTTCATAGTTACCCATTATTAAAAGTAAATCTTTTGGGGGTGCCTAGGTGGCTCAGTCATTTGAATATCTGACTTCAGCTCATATCATGATCTCATGGATCATGAGTTCGAGCCCTGCATCAGACTCACTGCTGTCTGCGCAGAGCCTACTTCAGAGCCTCTGCCCCCCTCTCTCTCTGCCCCTCGCCAACTCATGCTTTCTCTCTCAAAAATGAATAAACATTTATTTAAAAAAAAAAATCCTTTTCCACACGGTAATTATAGGTCAAAATTCGAAACATTATTAGAACTAGGTTGGTCTGGGGTAAAGGTGGGCATGGTAATAACAAAATACAAAATGTAACTACTGTTCATATCAAGATTTCTTAAAATGTGTAGGCACAAGCACGAGGACTGCAATTTAAGATAATTCCAGTAAAAATTTATGCAGTGAAATTTAATGTCATTACTGGTTTAGAAGGATCTGGATGAGCCTTAATTAGCTCCATCAGGGGCACCTGGGTGGCTCAGTCAGTTGCGCATTGGACTCTTGATTTCAGCTCAGGTCATGATCTCATGGTTTGTGAGATCCAGCCCCGCATCAGGTTCAGCATTGACACTGAGGAGCCTACTTGGGATTCTCTCTCTCTCCCTCTCTTTCTGCTGTTGCCTTGCTTGTGTACTCATGCTCTCTCTTTCTCTCTCTCTCAAAATAAATAAAATTAAACGAAGATTATCACCAAGTTGTAAACATAAAAAATTTAAATTTCTTGTAAACAACTCTTAAAATTTTTTTTAAAGTTTATTTATTTTGAGGTGGGGGGAGGGGCAGTGAGGGAGGGGGGGAGAGAGAGAGAATCCCAAGCAGGCTCCGCACTGTCAGCACAGAGCCCAATGTGGGGCTCAAATCCACGAACTGTGAGATCATGACCTGAGCTGAAATCAAGAGTCTGATGCTTAACCGACTGAGCCACCCAGGTGCCCCAGATTTCTTGTACACAACTCGTAACCCATGGCATTATTATTATTTTTTTTATAATTAATGCAAGATAATCAGAGAATGATAGGGTTGCAAGGACTAAGAAAAGTGCCTCATGGTATCCTTTCTTGCATCATTTATTCATTTGCATTTAGGGAGTATTTACCGTGTGCCCAGTACTGTGCTAAACACCATTTCCTGCTTTTAAGTTGCTTATATGTTAGCTATGATTAATGAGTCAGCCAGCACTTTGAGTAGAGGATGAGGAAGGCTATGAAAACAGAGTGGTACAGGTACAGAAGTTAAGATACTACCTTATTCAGTCAAAAGGGATTAAAGATAATTTTCCAAAGACAGACAAATAGAAATTTGTTAGTTGAGACAAGGGATGAAGAGCCATGGAGTTGTAAAGAAAGTGTGTTATGTACAGGAAACAGCAAATAATTTGGAATTGCTGGAGGTTTGGGTACATGCAGAAAGATGGCTTTTGGTAAGGCTGGAAAGGAAAGCAATGGCTGCATTATGAAATATCTTTGATCCTGAACATTTTGGGGTGGAAATGAAAGGCCATCCGAATATTCAAGGTAAGGTAAAGAAATGATCAGTGTTGCATTTCAGAGAGATTACTTGGTCTCTGGTGTGAAGGAGATTGAAATATAAGCAGGAAGGATCAGAAGTGGGTCAGTTGTGTTGCAATCTTGAAATTAAGAGGGACCTAACTAAAATTGGATTTAGTGAATATATTTAGGGACTCTATGGATAATGAGAAAAAAGAAGAGGGTCCAGTATGACTTCTGGGTAGGGTCTGGCTTGAACAAATGGTTAGATAGAGATACTTGTGCCTAAGATTACAAATCTTTGAGTTTAGCAAGGAAGGTGGTTGTTTACATATATGGACACATTTATTTGTTGATATTTATGGGGTATCTAGAGATGCATAGTAGGAAGTGATATGTAGAGAGGTTTGAGGTAATGGTTAAAAGATTTAGAATTCATTAAAGTGTAAATAAAAGACTGCTAACCTGGATTGATACGAGGAAATGGATGCAAATAGAACCCTGGAAAATGCCGGTATTTAAGTGATGGATAGAACAGAATCCCACAAAGGACACTTCAGAGGCAATATTGTCTGAAAAAAAGCTTTTATTGCATTTGGCAGTTAATAGGTGATGGGTGACTTCAATAAAACAGCTTCTTTGGTGTTTTGGCTGAGGAAGCTAGATTAATACAAGCTTGAGTTTGCAAAATATTAAGGATTAAGGTAAGATACTTTTTTAAAAGCTTAAAAAAAAATTTTTTTTTCGAGAGAGAATGCGTACACACGTGAGCTGGGGAGGGGCAAAGAGAGAATCCCAAGCAGGCTTCCTGCTTTCAGCACAGAGCCCAAAGTGAGGCTCGATCCCACAGACTGAAATCAGTGAAGTGAGCTGAAATCAAGAGTTGGATACTCAGCCGACTGAGCTACCCAGGTGCCCTGTAAGATACTCTTTCTAAAATACAGTTGGGAAATTTTTACATAGTGGAGGTTGTTTCCAAGTTTTTATATTTACTTATTTATATATATTAATGTTTATTTTTGAGGGACAGACAGAGCACAAGCATGGGGAGGGGCAGAGAGAGAAGGAGACACAGAATCCAAAGCAGGCTCCAGGCTCTGAGCTGTCAGCACAGAGCCTGATGCAGGGCTCCAACCCACCGGCTGTGAGATCATGACCTGAGCCAAAGTCGGATGCTTAACTGACTGAGCCACCCAGGCACCCCTCAAGTTTTTATTTTTTAGAAAGATCTAAGACTTGATTACATTTATAAGGAGAGAGGGAAAACCCAGTAGAGAGGGAAATACTTGATGGGGCTAATCCCAGGAAGCAATTAGAGACAAGGAAATCCAAATGCAAGCTTCTCCCAGGTGTACTGCCTGTAAACCATCCTGGTGTAAAGGTTTTAGATCTGTGCTTTGAGTCCTGTTTTGGAAACTGAGTCGTTATTTAGAAGTTGCAGTCACAGCAGTGCGATAACTTTTCTAGCCCAGTGCACAAAGGGCTGTTTAACTATAATTATCTAGCAATTAGAAAACTGCAAACCAGAACCTTGTATCCTAAAGGCAGGCAGGAAGATAAATTATTTTCCTTCGTTATTGGAAGTGGTGTTTCTATTAGACATTTTACTTTTAGGTGTCACCCATTACAATAAACCTGCAGACTTAAAACAGAGTTTTAGGTGCTAATATGGAATGATTTTCAAGAGAAACCATTTGTTTTTTTTCAAGATTTATTGAAGTATAATTGACAAAATTGTAAGCTACTAAAAGTGTATGTGATATTTGATACACATACACACTATGAAAGGATTTCTCTCATCAAGTTAATTAATACATTTATCACCTCATATCTTTTTTGTGTGTGAGAGCATTTAAGTTCTACTCTCAGCAAATTTCAATGATATAATACAGTGTTATCAGGTCTAGTCCTGTTACACAGTAGAGCCTTAGACCTTATCCTTTTTAAAAAAAGATTTTGTTTATTTTTATTTAGTTTTTTAATTGAGGTATAATTGACATATATCATTATATTAGTTTCCAATGTATATTTGATATTTGTATGTATTGTGAAATGATCACCACAGTTAATCAAGTTAACATCTTTCAGCACACAGTTACAAAGGTTTTTTAATGTATATCCTGATGAGAGCTTTTAAGACCTTCTCTCCTAGCAACTTTCAAACACACAATGCTGTGTTATTAAATATAGTTACCACAGGGGCGCCTGGGTGGCTCAGTTGGTTAAGCATCCAACTTCAGCTCAGGTCATAATCTCACGGTTCGTGGGTTTGAGCCCCACGTCGGGCTCTGTGCTGACAGCTCAGAGCCTGGAGCCTGCTTCAGATTCTGTGTCTCCCTCTTTCTCTGCCCCTCCCTCACTCATGCTCTGTCTCTCTCGCTCTCAAAAATAACATTAAAAAAAATTAAATACAGTCACCATGGTTTATATTACATTTTCATGACTTACCCTATAACTGGAAGTGTTCATACCTTTTTACCTGCACTCATTTCTGGCACCCTCCATCTAGACCTTTATTGAAAGTTTGGACTCTTCTACCAACCTGTCCCTATTTCCCCCACATCCCAATCCCTGGCAGCCACTTTTGTATTATGTTTCTATAAATTCCACTTTTTGTTAAAACACACACACACACACACACACACACACACACACA